GCTATTTATCCAGCAGAGCTTATCAAGAACTTCTAATGGTAACTTTTGAATGATTATAGCAATTGTATCTGGTATTTTGAGTGGGTTGTATGAATACATTTTATATACTTTTCTCCCGGTTATATTCATTTTCAAAAAAAATTTATTAATAATTACTGGATTGGATTCCCAAATAACTGCACAGTTTAGGATAATTGATCACGTTAGGTTTACCTTTGAAAGGATTTATCCATTTCAATTAATCTGATTAGAAGATATGTCTTGATAATTATTTTGCGCAAATTCCTTAGAATTTTTTTTATCTGAAAAATATTTGTTATAAAACATCTATGCATGCTTCCTTTAGAGTTCCTTGATACGAAGCTTAGCTTTCATAGCCCTTTCTTCTGCTTCTTCAGGAGATATTTCAGATGCTATCAGGCATTTATATAGTCCAATTCGCCAATGTCCATATGGGAGGGTTCGAATTCTATCAAGCAAGTTCCAACGCTTATTATCATATGGATTTAACCCTATCTTATTTACTCTTTCCAGATATATTTGATGATCATAACTGCGGAGACCATACATATCATGCCGGATTAGATTCCTAGTCCTTAGACATTCTAGGAACTTATCATGTTGAAGCTCCCTTTTTACCACGCATTTCTTTACACCCTTTGCCTTCTGGATACCATGCTTTTTCTCCCATTTCTTTTCACCCTGTGACTTTCTATATTCTTCCTCTTCTAACTCTTTTTCGAAATCTGCATCTGTTTCAGGAGTTTTGGGATCATGCCCAACTGGAAGAATAGAATACATCTTTGGCTTTAAACATACTGATTCAACTATTGGATTTCCCTTTGTCTCATCCTTCATCAGGAATAAGTCACCTGAATAATCAAGATCGAAAATGTCTGGCCTTTCTGCTCGATCTTTGTATATGTTCTCAGTTTCAATAAACATGATAAGTGAGTCTGTATCAGTATATAGTAAACGGGCTTTATCTCCATAGCGAAGCTTTATGTAACCATACCAAAAGTTAAACATCATGGCTTTGCTAATATCGAGAATTGCCTGTCCTACATAAATTGGCTTATTTAGAGTCACTGTATCTTTTAGCATGTGTACAGCTGTTATGTCTCCCTCAAATGCTTTAAAACCTACATACAATGGTGAACTTGCTAGGCGTCTGATTTTTTATCCTCTTCTGTTCAAAGTAATTCAACTCTCATATGTTTACGGATATTTTCCATCTGCTTTCCGAAGACAGCATTATTTTTTAGCTTATAATACATAACCCCAAACTCGTCTCCATTAGCTTTAGCAATCTTACGCTTTCGAATGTTTTCCTCAATATATTCCTTCATCCATGGAGATTGCCAGAATTTTAGAGCACCATGAACCTTTGTAACTTTCAATCCTAATTTTATGTATGTCTGAAGAGCTCAATAGTGAACTACATAATTCTTCTTAGGATAAAAGGTCTGAAGTAACTTCTCTCCAGACAAATATTTTCCATCACTGCCTTATCACGAACTAATCTTTCATTATACAAGCTAAGCCAGTTTTCTGGTACAATTTGCTTTTCTGGCGCTAAAGAATAATCTGCAAAGAAGTCGTATAAGTGTATTGGAATTTCTAGATCAACTTCAAGCAAATAGCCTATTTCTGCATCAGGTGCAATACTTTGAATATCGG